GAAGAGGGCACCAGAACTCATTACAGATGGTTGTGAGCCACCATGTGGTTGCTGGGAATTGAACTCAGGACCTCTGGAAGAGCAGCCAGTGCTCTTAACCGCTGAGCCATCTCTCCAGCCCCTGAGAAAAAGAGTCTTAATTTGAGGTATTGTGAGGGGGCAAATGAGAGGGCTGGAAGAAGGAGATAGAAAATGATGTCATTATATTTTATCTTTAAAAATTGCAAACATATCCAAACTAATTTTTCAAATTAAAAAGAAAACTTGTAGACATGGAGGCTACATAATAATTATTTACAGCAATTGCATGGATCACTGATCTGTCTAGTGTCAAGATTTAAGGAAGATTAAATAAACCTCAGCTTTTCAGAGTGGAGGGAAGCAGCCTTTAGTTTGTTGGAGCCATGAGGAAGAGGCAGGATGCGTGCCTGAAGAGTGGAGAGTGCAGAGTAACATGGGATTTAATTTCAGTTTAGAATTTGAAAATTGTAGCAGACCGTCTGCTTTTTTTTTTAAGTGACAAGCAATACCTTGAACAGCTGCAGAAGAGTTATGGTGCTCGTTAAAGCTCTGTCCTAGGAGGAATTGGGGACCTGTGGCCTTCGGACCCAGCCACTTCAGATTTGGGGTTCTTAAGACCTGCCACACAGACCCGAGACTGTGCCTGGATATCACAGGGCATATTTGTTAAAATGCTTACATTTTAGATAAGTTTCAGAAACCTAAGTCCCCCAAATCTTAGAATGTTGCTAAGACTGGTGTATTTATAAGTGGACATACTTATTCTATAGAAAAGTACCACAGAAAAGGCTGAACTTGGAGATTGGTTGCTATTCAGAAGTCATGACTTTGACCACATGAAAACGGAGTGTGCTCTGATTGCTAGTTACGAAGCTTCCCATTGGACCATCTGCCTTGCCTGGATCTTGGCTTTTGTCTTTCTTTCTCCCCCACACCCCTTTTCCTGTCCACCCTTCTCCTTCACCTGATGGCTTGTCCTTCTTCCTGTGCCGCACAGCTCTCTTCCTGTCTTAACTGAGGGCGCACATTTGGTGATGTGCCACGTGACGAGTCAGTTGGTGAAGGACAGATACATGGCAGTTGTTCTGTAGCTTATTTTTACTATTTTTTACTGTTCTTCTTCATCATGCTTAGATACATGTGTGCCTGTCATTGTTTGCCGATCTGTGCATTCATGTTACATAGGTTTGTAGCTTGGGCACAGTGGAAAATACCATATAGTGCAGAGGAAGTGGCCTATAACAGCTTGCTTTATGTAAGCATGCTCTGGGGTGCTCGCACCCCTGTGAACCCACCTTACAGTGTATTTCTTGGGGCAAGTTACTGTCATAAAGCAATGGTTTACTGTCTCATACAAGTAAACATTTTAACATTGGGCTTCTTGATTATAATAAAAAAGGAGAATATTCTCTTTTTCTAAAGTAATTTCAATTTTGTGTGTGTGTGTGTGTGTGTGTGTGTGTGTGTGTGTGTGTGTTAGGTTCCTGTTCAATTTTTATATTGTAAACACAGGCCAGTGGTGCAGAAAATTACTTCCCTACTTCTGTTTTGCAAGCATGTATTTGCATAAATTGATATTTGAATTATAAATTATTCTTACATATTTATTAGACAAGGTCACTGAGTAATGTTTATTAGCAAGTACAAGGTAAATATAAACAAAAGTAGCAAAATTGCACTGTTAGGAAGTTTGTATGGTTGATTTTGATTGACAGTAGTTGAAATGTACTGGACTCCTTCTTGTGGCTGAACGTGAATACTCATTCATATCTACAATAGAATCATAAAATGAATCAGCCTTCATTTTACATCTTCTGGCTCTATCTTACTTCTGCCTGTGCTTGTTACTTTGCTGCTGCTGTGATAAAACACCATGACCAAACTTATAAAAGAGTCTGTTTTGGCTCATGGTCCCTTACGGACACCGTGATGTCCATCATGGTGGGGAGGCAAGAGGCAGGCATGGTGGGAGAAGCAGGAAGCTGAGAGGTGACAGACAGCCTCTCAACCCCAAGCATGAAGGAGAGAGAGAACTGGGAGCAGGGTGAAGCGATCTACTCCTAAAGCCCACCCCTCCCCGATGACACACTTCCAGCAAGGCCACACCTCCGAAAACTCCCCAAACAGCGACGCCCCCCCCCCCCCTGGGGGGCCAGGTGTTCAGCTGTCTGAGCCTCGGGGGACTTTTCTCATTCATACAATCACGTTGTCAGACCCAGCATACCTCCCTGACCTCTTCCAGTCTTTCACATACATAACAAATCATGTAAGCCTCTTCCCTGTTCTTGGGGGATCTACACCTTTTTCTTTCCGTTTCTGTTTGCCGGGTGTGTCTGGGTCCGGTGGAACCCTTTAAATGCTGCTCCTTAAAGGACAGTACTTAGAGGTACTCATGTTAGCCAAGCGTGGAGAAGGTGGCTTTCCCTGTCTGGTTTGTTGACTGTACAGTATGTGAATTTTCAAATGACAAGCCCATCGGCTCACACTTACTCCATTTCCTCTTTCCGCGCAGGAAGTATCATTGGTTTCAAAGGCAACGTGGGCCAGTCGGCGTACAGCGCCAGCAAAGGCGGGCTCATTGGGTTTTCACGCTCACTCGCTAAGGAGGTCGCGCGGAAGAAAATCAGAGTCAATGTGGTTGCTCCAGGTCAGTGAGGACTTCGTACAATAACCGTACTATGGTTTTGTGGCATAAAGAAAGGCCATTTATTGGCCCATTAATTGGTAAATTGCTAGTCTTTAATTGACATTTGGGTAGTGTATCTCTAAAAATCACTGTAGAAAGAAATAATGGACTAGTGACTAAAAAACTATTCTTGTACCTCATGTTTTACATCAAAGTCTTTACTTTTAAATTTTGCCCAAGTTAGGGAATACATTATGGTCAGAGAACCATGGAGGTCATCTTGTGTTTCGAGCTGGGGTCTTCACCGTGCTCTCTAGTGCCAGAATTGTAGGCTTGCTCTACCACACCTGGCTTATTGCACCCACACTGACATTTTAGAAGATTGTGACCAGGGTTCAACGTAATTTACCTAAAGCTACCTGGCCGTTTCATGGAAAGCTGAAAAAATAATGTCCCCAAGGTTTCCTTTAGAATCGTAATATTTATGTTGTTGAATCCTTCTGCTATTGTCTTTTCTCTAAATGATCTGGGATTCTCTAGTTTCTTACTTGTTTATGTATTTATTTCCTTATTATTCCCCCTCTTTCCTCTTGTATATTATTTGCCATTTGCTAATAAAAAGATGCCATAATTCAGATCTATGTCTCACTGCTAAGCCATACCTCGATACGGTCTCTTTGTCCTGCAGTTTTAAGTACTTAAGAATTAATCTCCTGTTGGAGTGGCTGGCCGTTTGTAGGCAGGCGAGTGCACTGCTGTGGACCTCTGCCACCTTTCTCTTTTAACTCCCTCCTGGCTCCAGCTGGGACCTGAGAGTTGCCGCTCACAAGGAGCTGGCAGGTGTTTTTCAGGATGTTCTGTGAACCTGTTTGCTGCGTAACATGCCTTCACCCCAGCTCACTGTTTGGTCTCAGGCTAGCTGAGTTGAGACATTCCAAATCCATGAGCACTAAGGAAGGTTATTACAGCTCGGATGTCAGATTTTTGAAGGGAAAAGGTAAAGGCTCCCAAGAAAAGCTTTCCTTATAATTCCATGTCATTCTGTTGGCCTGGCTTTCTGCTTCTGTATGCTCCGTGCAGGCTGTCACGGTCGGCGTTGGCTGAGCCAGTCATCCCCATCTACAGGGTGGTTGATTTGTGGTGTGGAATGGTTTGCACTTGCCCTTTCTCTTTTCGAGATTGCACTGGAATGAGTAATGAGGAGTTAATTCCATTTCTTGGTGATGTAAAAGCCGACTAGCTGAGAGGAAGGCCCTTCTTTCCAATTCACAGAATCGTGCAGCGGATGTCCTGGGGTGTCTTCCTCTATGCCAGGGCTGTGCTAGGTCCAAGAGTAATAAAAATGAATGAGATATTTCTGCTGCAAGATGCAGAATACAGTTGGGAAGACATAAACGAACAAATCACTGCGATGTCAAGTGCTGGAGGTAGAATAGTGATGGGTACCACACTAGGGAGATGCTGAAGGATGTCTACTGTGGATTAGTTGTCAAGGCAATGGGATGAATGCTGGAAATCCAGCTTGTATACAGGGGAGAAGTTTTAAAGGTGTTATGCAAGTGCCATAGAGTCTTTTGTAAAGATCTTATTTTTCCAGTGCAATCACATTGGGGCTAAAAAATCTGTTGCTAAAACATGGCCACTTAGTAGAGTGGCCTTTGTAATATTATAGTGTGTGTGTGTGTGTGTGTGTGTGTGTGTAAAATGTTCCATAGTACAGATTGAAATGACAAGATTAAATCAATTCTATAGGTTATTTATTGACTTGATTTTGATATTAAGATATATCAGCTTCTTCACGAGATCCTTAAACAGAGCTAACAAATGTGCACTTACGATGTACTTACCCATGTACTCCCAGGTGGAAGCCAGTCAGTCACTTCTCCACTATATTTTTTGAGACAGGGTCTCTCACTGAACATGAAGCTTGCTGTTTAAGCTTAGTGAGACCCTATGATCTGTTTGTCTTCCCTGAGTCTGCCATGCCTGGCTTTGTTGTGGGTCCTGGGTGTCCCGACTGCAGGTCCAGTGCGAATACCTAGGCCGTTCTTCCCAGCCCTCAGGCCTCTGCTTTGTTCCTCTTTATGTCCCGTTTTCTTGATTCACTTCAGGTGGAGGTTCCAATTAGTAGGAAAACAGTGGAAAAACAAATTGTTGGAGGAAAACCTGGGAACAAGGTAAATAATGAGTTAGACTGTCACTCTGTCCTAAATCCTTGACTGCTCTTTAAAGATCTTGTTCTTTAAAGTACTTGCTAAGCTTTGGTATTTACTACTCATAAAGGAAAGTTGTCATCATAGATGAATCTCAATAATTGGAAATCGATGAATATGAGAAATAATAGTTGATAGATTGACTATAGTCAATTATTAGTCAAAATGAATCAATGACATGTACCTTCTTCAGATATTATAAATACAAATTCTCACTGGACAAGAACTACATGCTTGCTTTAGGAGTTAGAGTATCCCAGACTCTAAAGAGTTCATATTTTAAAAGTGGGCTTTGGGGTGTGGCCTAGTTGCCCAGCATGCCCTAGGCCCTGAGTTTGATCCCTAGACACCACTTCTCACCCCCATGCTGGGTGTGTGATTGTATATCCAGCAGTGAAGTGTAGTGTCTTGGTTCTGAGCTGCTCGATTACATGTCCTTTCACTTACCGTTTCTTGGTCTAAGGGTTGGTGGCTTTGTAGCCAGTTGGAAATCTCTAAGTGTCCAGGGAAGTAATGCAGCAGCATCCTCTGTTGGACAGTGGCACCTACTAGTAGTTTATAGTTTTTATAGCCATTTAAGTCTTGGTAAATGCAGGGATAGCAAAAGTAGGCTAGCAGAGCAAACTTCCCAGAGCTTTACAAATAGGAATGATATGGGGAGTGTCTTGTGGGGCCGAGGAAAGAAGACGAACTGGAGAGGAAACAGCATGATGATAGGTGTATAAGATGTTTGGGGACCACTAATATCTCCTCTCAGCTCTCTGATAGAGGGGGTGGGGTACCTAAGAGATAATTGATATGTAGTGCTTTGGGCTGTGAATGTATTTCTAAGGGAGACATGAGCATTGGCGTACGATAACATTGACATTTGGTACAGCCCAAGTGATTTGTCCTAGGAGATTAGCTTAACATTTCTTATTTAATTTCCAGTGAACTGGAGCAGACAGATGAGGTCTGAAAGGCTGCAGAGAGGGCAGGTCAGAATAACTACTGCGCATGGTACTGTAATGGTGGATAACATGACAACAGCATTTGCTGAAGCCTATATATACACTACAGGGTGACCCTCAAGGATTCCGCGGACTTTGCCTAGTAATGTGTCTGTACTGTTCATTAGCTGTAGTACATAACCACACTCAGGTGAGATATTGACCATGGCGGAAATGGAAGGAGGAAGGGGTGAGGGCAGTGAGATCAGCACAGGAGCTTTTGTTCCATAGTTCTGGACACCTAAAAGTGCAGTCAAATAAAGTCTACCAATTTAAAAGACCCCATGGATAAAAGAGAAGGATCTGTAGGAATGTATGTTCATTTTCTCGTTAGACATAATCTAAGAGGAAAAACTAGTGTGTCGGGGCAAATTCTCCCCTTCCTTAAAAAGCCAAAACAGAACATTTGTGGTTTATGCCACGTGTGCATGCGCTGTGGTCCACTCGAGGAGGCCAGGGGACATCACGCTCTGTCATTTCCATCACTGGGTCTGGGGATTGAACTCCGGTCATCAGGTTTTTGCAGCAAGTGCCATTATCCACTGCACCATGTAACCAGCCCCTTCCCTTCCCTTCCCACCCACTTCAGTGTTAGGTTTTACAGTTTAGTGATGGTCAACAGCTCTCTGTGAGATACGCCACCACTGCTAGTATGCATCCATAGCTCTGACAAGAGACTGCAGAGGGTCCTTCTGACAACTGATGTCCTTGTTTTCCCGAGTTGGAGCTGTGCAGGAGACTCCTTCTGGGTAGTAGATGGCCACACACCTATTTGTGTGTAAGAAATTATGTAAGAAACGAGGGCTCTTTTTTGTCTCAGTTCCCTAACCCTCCAGTCATGATGACTTCTTATTCAAAAGCTATCGATACACAACCAGAAGGAATGCTCAGGGACTGGCCATCTTCCGTCTGTTTGTTCTTTTTGTGATATGTGGACTGTGTCGGTTAGTGCACAGCCTCCTTGGCTCACAGCTTTACAGTATCGCAGAGCAGAGAACAGAATCCTGATTCGTGAACCAGAATCCAGTGGCCTCCTCACCACCCCAAACACCACCAGAGCCAGGGGGAAGTCGGCCTGAAAGTCGCTAGCCTGTTACTGACAAGAGTGTTCATAAACCATGGCTACTGTGGTTTCTTGTGGCTTGTTTTTGTTTGTTTTTTAGATTAAAATACATCCTTTTCTGTTGAGTTTATGGAGTTAATGTGAAGCACTTCATGCCAATTTTGTTAGAATTTTTTTAGAAGATGTATTTATTATTTTAAGTACGAGTGCTCTATCTGCATGTACACCTTTATTCCAGAAGAGGCTATCAGATCCCACTATAGATGGTTATGCACCATCATGTGGTTGCTGGGAATTGAACTCAGGACCTCTGGAAGAGCAGCCAGTGAGTGCTCTTAACCACTGAACCATCTCCCCAGCCCAATTTTGTTAAGAATTTTAAAGAGTAAAAGACAGTTGTATCATGAACTCTTTGAGAAGATAACAGATTTTTCTCTTTTAATTTAAACAATTTTGAGATTATATGTGAACACTGTATGTCATTTCCACCCTTCCTTCTCCCCCTGCCAGTCCTTCTGTTTCTCCCAACTCCCTTCGTATTCATGATCTCCTCTTCAGTTATTATTAGTACATAGATACACGTGCTATGCATGTATAACAGCCTGCTCCTTCCTCCTAGTGTGGCTTGGATGTGTATGTATTCAGGGCTGACTCCTTGGGATTAGACAGCCTATTGGGGACTCAACCTTGGAGGAGACTGTTTCTCCTTTTCTCAGCAGCCATGAATTGGCCGTAGCTCTTATCTCGGGGTCAGGCCTTGTGGGGTCCCCTCTTCCATGCGGCTGTGTCAGCTGGAATTGTCACTGGGCAGGTCTTGTTTAGGTGACCACATTGTTGAGATTTCATGAGTTCAGCTTCCCTGTCACACGCAGAAAAAAACAATTTCATAGCACACATCCTGGTCTGCCGGCTTAAGACCTTCCCACCCCTTTCTGCAATATCCCCCGAGCCTTAGGTTAGGGATTATAACACAAAGTTGTCAGCACTAACATTAGAAATTTTATTTCACTCAACTTTTATAGTCTGAGGTGATTATGGGGTTCATTTTCTCTGGGGCATCCTTGAAAAGAAGCGGGCTAGCACACAGCATTGGATCTCATCAGACTCACGGGTTCTTAAGAGAATTGGATTCTTCTGGATTCTGGCTCCTCGCGGAAGAACTAAGCTTCGTCTTTGGGCCAGGTGTGGTGGCACGCTCCTCTAGTTCCAGCGTGTGGGAGGCAGGGGCAGGTGCGTCTCTGAGTTTGAGACAAGCCTCGATGACACAGGGAGATCGCGGACAGCGAGGGCCATGTGGTGAGGCCCTGTCTCCAAACAGCAGGTTGGCTCAGGAGTTGAAGGTCCACAGAGGCTGTCTTGTCTGTCTGCATTTCCTTCTCACCCCGTGTTCAAGATGAAAGGAAACGTTGCTGACTTTTCAAATAGATGCGCTGAGGTTTTATTGTAGAGGGGGGTGTGTCTCACAGTATATTCTCACAGGCGAACTCAAGTAGTACAACATTAGTTTTGTTATTTCTGGCCCTTAGTTTAGACCATCTGTAACTCATAATGTTCATATTTTTTCAATGATTTTTATCTGAGTGCAAAGATTATGTATATCTGTGTGGACAGCTTAAAAAGCAAAGTACAAAGAGAACGTCATCTGGTGTATAGTTCTGGTAACTACTGTCACACTGGTGTCCAGTGATAATCGGATGATAATGCCAGCATTTTGGCATGTGTATTTCACCTTGTTTTTAGTAGTGATGTAATGGATTCACACATAACCTTCTAAAATTACAGATGTGAAATCTCCATTTCTGTCATTAATGCCAACATTATTTTATGCTGCCATGTATGAGATCTTAACCCGTTCCTTGTTGAAAGATCTTTCAATTTATTTCCAGATGTCATGAGTAACTTTTCACTGTCTCAGATTTTATGGTAGGAAAAAAAAATCTACAACTATTTCTCACCGGACTTTAAAGAAAAGATTTAAGTTTTCATAAGTGAAAACTCAAAGTAAACTTAATTATATAGAATTAGACAATAAACTAGCATATGAATCCAGTATTTCGCTCACACTTATCAACACATCATTTGTAAATGATAATATAATATAACTTATAAATGATTGAGTTTAACATAAGCCAATTTGAAAACCTTTTATGGTGAGTGTAGGTGAACTTTCACTTCCTTTAGCATGTCTGGCATTGAGTACTCTTTTGTCACCTTGAACTATAAACTTTCCCAGACCTGCTGCTCTCATGAAGGTTACTGTTTGCATTTGAAAAAAAAAAGCAAAAAACCTAGTGATAGAAGCTGGGCATGGTGGCATACGCCTTCAGTCCTAGTACTTGAAAGGCCTGTGGATTTATGTGAGTTTTAAACTAGCCTGGTCTACCTGGTGAGACCATGTCTCAAACAATTTTTTTAGTATTAATTAGTAGACAAGATATTATGTGGTGACATTTTACTAGTGATATATATTTGTTTCTATAATCTTGTAGGAATTTCTTAAATCAGTGGTTCTCAACCTTTCTAATGCTGCGACCCTTTAATACAGTTGCTCATGTTGTGGTGACCCCCCACCGTGAAATTATTTCATTGCTACTTCATAACTGTAATTTTGCTACTGTTATGAATTATAATGTAAATATCTGATATATGGGATATTTGATATGTGACCCCTGTGAAAAGGTCATTGAACCCCCAAAGGGTTGTGACCCAAAGGTTGAGAACTACTGTCTTAAATCTATAGATGATCCTGGTATGTGTGTGTGCATACATATTATCATTGTGAATTATTGAATATATATTAAATTTCTGCAGAACTTGCTCTTTGCATACTCTATAGCATATATACCAATACTGAGTTAAAAATTTCATCTTTTATGTATATTTTTTTATCAGAATTAGATATGACCATAAGAGTTTTTCTTATGTGGACTTTGGAATCCTCGGCTTCCTCTCATCAATTATCTTGGTTTAGTAAATGGAATGGATTAATTCTTATTAGGATTGCAAAATCTGTTCATGGGACCATCTTTGTGATGCCCTCTCTCAACGCTGTTTCTCACTTTCTCCCCCACCTGTGTGAAAATCATTTCTCTAGTGTTTTATTTATAGCATTATAGGAGGATTCACCAGACTTTATTACATTACAACTGGGTATGCAGCAATTGCCTCCTTTCTCCATAGATTATAGTCGTCCAAAGAATGCACTGTTTAATTTATGTTTGTATCTCCCTACTACATTCCACAGCTTTACCTTTATGTTTGCCAAGAGCTGAGTCATGGACTTGGGAGTCAGGCATTTTTGTGTTCAATAAAGAGTCACTGAGTTAAAGTGAATAAAATTGTATACTTAATTAATTACTAATAATATTCGGTGTTTCCTAACAGTGTTTATTAATAATGTCCCATTCTCAGAAGCAAACTCTTCTTATAAAAGATGAACAGCCATCTTTAGTGTCTATTCTTTAACTGACTGAACATTTCTTTCTCAGGATTCATTCACACGGACATGACAAAGCACTTGAAAGAAGACTATTTAAAGAAAAACATCCCTCTTGGGCGCTTTGGAGATGCTCTTGAAGTGGCGCATGCGGTTGTCTTTCTTTTGGAGTCGCCGTACATCACAGGACATGTTCTGGTTGTGGATGGAGGATTGCAGCTCACCGTCTGATTAGAGATGATTCCGTGCTGATGGCTCATGACTGGGGTCACATGCACATTTTTCTATTAATTAGGCTATCATAGCTCTGTGGGTGACATTTGTTACTAAAAATGGTTCTATCTTTGTATGAACATTTTCAAAAGAACAATGTATGACCGGTTGTAATCTAAAAGGTATGAATCCTCTATCTTTAGAGGTCATAGCAATTTTAGTACATAGACATTTTGTAAGAGATATGCATCAGTATTTGTATTTTTGCCTTGAAAACAGAAAATTCTGTTGTCTGATTGTGATCTAGTTTAAGTGTATCAAGCTGGATTTTTAAGACACAGACTTTGTGCTCTTGCTAAAATAAGAGTATTTACAGAAGATTGAGATCAATTTTTTTTTGTCAGTTACTTTTTGTTGCTGTGGTAAAACACCATAACCAAAAGCAACTTAGAGGGGGAAAGGGTCTCTTGATGCTTTTGGTTCCAGAGGGATGGAATCCATCTTGGCAGGGCAGTCAGGGAAAGCATGGTAGTAGGAACCGGAAGCTAGCTGCTCACATGTCTTCCATACACAGGAAGCACAGAGAGGAAAGAGGAAGTGGAGCCAGGCTGTAAAACCTCAGAGCCCACCCCCAGTGACATACTTCCTCTAGCAAGGCTTCACCTCCTAAAGGTTCCATGACCTTTCCAAACAGTGCCACCGAGTAGGGACCAAGTGTTCAGTTGTGAATCCATAAGGACATTCCTCATTCAAATCAGCAGACAGTGCTTGAGCAGCCTTGCTAAGGCTCGCCTTTATGTTCTGGTTTGGGTTCTGAGGCAGGATTTCACAGTGTGGGCCAGGCTGACCACAGTGTGAGCCTTTCTGTCCTCTTGGCTGTAATCTCCCTAGGGCTGGGATTCCTGGTGTGTACCACCATACCTTGTGTGTAATATTGCATATGTGTGTGCATAGGCAATCACTTGTTTAATACAGTTGAGAAGAAATGTCAGTTAAAGAGATGCACTTAGAGAGGATTTTTCTTCTCCACCATACATCCTGTCTCACACCACCCTTCCTCCTGTTTCTTCTCTACCCGACTCCCCTCTTCTTCATCTTCTTTCTGAGCCAGGATCTTGTTCTGTAGCCCTGGATGGCCTGAACTTACTATGTATCCCATGCTTGCCTTGGACTTAGCGCTGTCCTTCTGCCTTACTGTCCCAAATGCCTTAGACTTGACTCGTGTGTGTGTGTGTGTGTGTGTGTGTGGTGTATATGTGCATGTGTGTATGTGTGAGGGTTTTTTTGTGTATGTAGTGTATGTATGTGTATATGTAGTGTGTGTATGTAGTATATATATATAATTATATATATATGTGTGTGTGTGTGTGTGGTATGATGTGACCAGAAGAGGACATTGGTGTCCTCCCTCCTTGTTGACTTGAGGTGGGCTGTCCGTGAACTAGAGCCTCCCTGTTTTAGCTACGGTGACTAGCCAGTGAGCTCTTGAAGTCTCGCTGTCTTTGTCCTCAGTACCGGGGTCACAGGTGTGTCTGGGCATGCTCGGCTTTCTCCAGGGGTGCTGGGGTTACACAGCAAGTGCTCCTATCTCTTCAGTCGTCTCTACAGCCAAGACCTGGATTCTTAGAGCGATGGTGCTTTTCACAGAACAGCTCAGCAAAATCCCGTGCTGCTGTAAGTGCGTGCAGTGGACTCTCTCTCCAGCAGTTACTGAGGATGGTAAGGATGAGTCCCTAAGGTGCCTGCGATAGTTATGAGCCACACAGATCGTGAACTTACGTAGTTTTTCTCTCAGAACAACCTCAGGTTAGCTAGCAACTTGAAAACACTATGAAGAATTGGGTGTGGTGGTGTATGCCCTGTAATCCCAGCACTCATGAGGTGAAGGCAGGATGACCAAGAACTCAAAGTCAACCTGGTCTACATAGTTCTGGACAGTTTGGTTTGGTCTTGTCTCACACCAAAGTGCAAAATTATAGTCAGGTGTGATTGCATTTGCTTTTAATCCTAACACACACACACACACACACACACACACACACACACACACGCATATACACATACACATGTACACATACACACATAAATATAATTAAGAATATTTTGCATTAGTGGATATAAAAATGATTCAGCTCCAAATCTTAGAATGGTAATGAATAATTACACTTATATAATCATAAAAGTGTGCAGTAAGAATGTATTATTGTTTTCACTAGAGATAATGCATGGGCTTTTTTTCAGTGGTGCTGGGATCAATCCCAGGGCCTGCCAGGTGCCAAGCAAGAGTTTTACCATTGACCATCCTCCTCAGCCTTGAAAGCATTGGTCTTAGAAGAGATGAAGATGTATAACTGAATACAATATAGATAGCATTCTTATTGCCTGAACTCTTGTGGGGAATAATAAACTATTTCTATATACTAGATTCATGTTGTTTTCTATTTACCATCATCCAAATGTTTTTAATATTTTATTTTATAAGGTAATGTTTTTATCAAGGTGCTTATAACCTCAGATACTTGGGCAACTGAGGCAAGAACATAGCAAGTTCAAGGACAACCTGGGAAAGTCAGCATGACTCTGTTTCAAAATAATAATAAATTTAAGGAGACCTGGGGATGTGATAGAGTACTTGCCTAGCAGAAACAAGGCCCTGGGTTCGATTCTTAGTACTTCAGACTAGAACAGAACACAATCTAGGGATCCAGAAGTCATCTAACTGCTGTTTTCAAGTGGAACAGAACATTAAGTGGAGATTTAAATATATATGGAAAGTCAAATAAAAAAAATGAATAAGATGTACTAATAAATTCATAAAAATGGTGTCATAAATCAAGAGCTGTGTACTAAATATGGAGTCCTTCATCTCTGACATACTTTCTTTATTTAGTTTATTAGCATTCTGTTTTTCTCAGTACCGAGCATTGTACATCGGGCTTTGGATCTGCCTACTAAGTCAGTATGCTACCCAGAGGTTACATCCGAAGCCTTTGATTCAGCATGAGAACATGGGAGAGCAAGCATTTCGTACTCCTGAATGAATGGCCTGCTAATTGATCCTTTATCATAACTAAGGAAGCTATAATTATAACTACTTAGTCTTCAACTCCATCAGAGACCTGAGAAGGAAATAATAATACCCGAGTAAGCAGGAAGTGTAAGCAAGTGACTTCCAAAAAAATGTAAGAAATGGCGGAAACAGCTGGCTGCTTAGACAGTCACCCAAGGTGTAACATTGGGGCATCCAATTTTGGCCTTCAGGCCTAGAATATCTGACAGACTTTGCTGTGAAACAGGGAAGTTTGAAGGACTGTCCTACCTTGTTTTGACTGTCATCTTTCTTTGTGTCCTGCTTGCCCGGATTGGACAGCGTGTTTACTGTCAGCAGTTGAGGCAAGGGCGGTTTCTTTGCCCACATGGCTAACTTTTGCCACATAGAAAGCAAGCAAACTCAATATGGAGTTTCTTCGATGCTCACCATCTTTTTGGAGTATATTGGTGCTGTCAGGACCACACTGTCATGAAAATCTAAGTTATTAAAACATTTTAAATGTCATATTCTGTAGGAATTTGAAGTGTTTAAAGGTTATATATCTGAAATATATCTTTGTATACCTAAAAAACCTAACATGACTATAAGTTTGACTATTATAGATGACTATTAATATTTATTAATTACAATTATAATTTTAAATTAGTTGCATAAACATAATATATTTAACAAGAGTAGAAATATACATATAAAATTAACTTTAAATTTGTATTAATAAACCAAAATCCTTACCAATGTAAAATAGTTTGAGATTAATAGTTGTTTTTTAGATTAAAGTAGATTCAATAATCTACCCTTTTATCCTATTCTTTCTTTCTTTCTTTTTTTTTTTTTTTTTTTTTTGGTTTTTCGAGACAGGGTTTCTCTGTGTAGCTTTGCGCCTTTCCTGGAGTTCACTTGGTAGCCCAGGCTGGCCTCGAACTCACAGAGATCCGCCTGCCTCTGCCTCCCAAATGCTGGGATTAAAGGCGTGCGCCACCAACGCCTGGCATTATCCTATTATTTCTATATCATACCCCTTTTCTTCTTTTAGAAAGAACTTGAATATGACCAGTAACAATTTGTAACCAATCTTAAATGAAAACAAACATTTATAACCAATATTTTGGGAATGTGGGCGTAGTTTTCTAAACTACTTCACACTGATCAGGGGCACTGGTAATCTTTGAGGGACCATGAGAAAAAGAGGATAATTGTTAAGTCTGGAGTGTTCTGTGAGGCTGGATTGTAGCTAGAGTTTTCCTGCCTTGCCCACAGTCAGGCCAAATCTTTGTCACCTGCCAGTCCCACAGCCGCTCAGACCCAACCAAGTAAATACAGAGACTTATTTTGCTTACAAACTGTATGGCCATGGCAGGCTTCTTGCTAACTGTTCTTATATCTTAAATTAGTCCATTTCCATAAATCTATACCTTGCCACGTGGCTCGTGGCTTACCAGCATTTTCACATGCTGCTTGTCTTGGCGGTGGCTGGCAGTGTCTCCTCCTGCCTTCCTGTTCTTTCTTTTCTCCTCTCTGTTAGTCCCGCCTATACTTCATGCCTAGCCACGGCCAATCAGGTTTTATTTATTGACCAATCAGAGCAACACATTTGCCATCTCCCAGCACAGCCAAGTACAGACCATCTCAGACACTTGCACTCAGGCTTGTGGTCCTAATTATCCTCTATTTGGACCTGCTGGGTAAAGCTACGAGGAACCCAAGAACAGGCTCCCACAGGACATACAGAACATCCCACAGCACTGGATTGTTTCAGCCTTGAAGCTGGTTTGATGTTGGATCACCTGGGCCCTTTTTATTGGTGTCTGGTCCCCTTGTTTTGAAAACATATAAACTTTTAAAGGTAACACACATAGCTGTATTAATACAAATAAAAACTGTGTGTTGTATATAAGCCAGTCATAGTTAATTTTTTATTTTATGTTTGAACAGGTAAAATATATATCACGTGTCTTGTAGTTACTTTAGGTTTATTTTTTCATGTCTGTAGTCAGGATTTCAGGGGGTCTTCCTCCATCAAACCTGATTTTTGTTAACCTGGAATGAATCCATAGTCTCTTATTTCCAGTAGAAACAAAAGCATAACTTCTCCCTCAAGGTAACATCTTTTGACATAAATTTTGAAGTCAAGGTAATTTAAAAATATATAGGTTGGTTTGATATAGTCTCTCAGCTGTTATCACTTATCCATTAATAGTCAAAAAATATAAAGAGAACATAATAAAATATGGAATCTTTATGTGACTTATTCTTTTTTATTATTTTACTTCTCTTTTTAAAGACTTGGTTATTTTTATGCTATTTATTTCTTTTCTGTGACTGTCCATACCCGTATTCTTTCTTTCTTAAGCCTATGCACATTGTAAAGCACACGAGAACCTGTTCAGAGGTTTTTGTTGTTTATTTTTCCATCTGGACCTCTTTGTTTCGCAGCTCTGGTGTCTTTGGACTGTGCGAGCAGACTTTAGACTGCTAAGCCACAGCTAGACCCTCCATGCTGTTCCATCGACTGGCTCGGCCTGCTTCTCGGCTTGTGAGAGCCAAGCTCGGGCCTGGTTGGAGGTGCGTGACTAGGAGCGGCCTTCAACCTTCCCGGCTGTAGGGAGCGGTACCTGAGCTGCCTCAAGTCCTTTTCACTCAGCTTGCTGTTTCTAGTCTCCTTTTAGTGCTGCTGGCTGGATTGAGGAGCTGTGTCCTTCTTCCTTCCTTCCTTCCTTCCTTCCTTCCTTCCTTCCTTCCTTCCTTCCTTCC